GCCCGCGGGACGTGTGGCTGGTGCCGGACTCGCCGCCGGCCGTGCCCGCCTGGCGCGCGGCGCTGTCCCGCGGCTCGCCGGCGCTGGCGGCGCTGCTGGGGGGTCCCTTCCTGGAGGGCGGCCGGGCGCGGGTGACGCTGCGCCGCTGCCCCCGCCGCCCGCTGCTGCTGCTGCTGCATTTCCTGCACGGCTGCCGGCCGGGCGGCTGCCCCGGGCTGCGGGCGGCGGCGCGGGCGGCGGGCGCGGCGCTGGCGCTGGCGCGGCGCTTTCTGGTGGAGCCCTTCGAGGAGTGGGTGGCGGCGGCGGTGCCGGGTGAGCCGGCGCGGCTGTGGCGGCTGGCCGAGCGCTGGGGCTGCGCGCCGCTGGCGCGGCGGGCGGCGCGGGGCGCGCTGGCGGCGGGCGCGGCGCCCGCCGTGGGCGCGGAGCTGGCGCGGCTGGCGCGGGCGGCGCGGCAGCCCGGCGAGCTGGCGCGGGCCCTGCTGGGGGAGATCTGCCCCGGCGCCGCCGCGGGGCTCGGGCTGGGCCGGGGGGCGGCCTGGGACCCCCTGCTGGGGCCCGGCGGCACCGGGAGCGACGGTGACGGCACCGGGAGCGAGGGTGACGGCACCGGGAGCGAGGGTGACGGCACGGGGGATGAGGGTGACGGCATGGGGGATGAGGGTGACGTCATGGAGGATGAGGGTGATGTCATGGAGGATGGGGATGGCGTCATGGAGGATGAGGGTGACATCATTGAGGCGGATGGCGTCGTGGAGGACGGGCGGTGACGTCATGGAGGATGGGGAATGCGTCATGGAGGATGGGGATGACGTCATGAGAATGGGTGGTGACGTCATGGAGGAGGTGGGTGACGTCATGGAGGCTGATGACATCGTGCAGGACGGGCAGTGACATCATGAGAATGGGTGGTGACGTCATGGAGGATGGGGATGACGTCATGGATGAGGAGAGTGACGTCATGGAGGAGGAGGGTGACGTCATGGAGGATGAGGGTGACGTCATGGAGGATGGGGATGGCGTCATGGAGGATGAGGGTGACATCACGGATGAGGAGGGTGACGTCATGGAGGATGGAGATGACGTCATTGAGGTGGAGGGTGACGTCATGGAGGCGGATGATGTCGTGCAGGATGGGCGGTGACGTCATGGAGGATGAGGGTGATGTCATGGAGGATGGGGATGATGTCACGGATGAGGAGGGTGACGTCACGGAGGAGGATGGCATCATGGAGGATGGGGATGACGTCATGAGAATGGCTGGTGACGTCATGGGAATGGAGGGTGATGACGTCATGGAGGAGGGAGGTGACGTCATGGAGGATGAGGGTGATGATGTCATGGGAACAGGAGGTGACGTCATTGAGGATGAGGGTGACGTCATGGGAACGAACGGTGACGTCATGGAGGGTGATGACGTCACTGAGCAGGGCGGTCACCTCATGTCAACGGGCAGTGACGTCATCAGAATGGGTGGTGATGTCACAGAGGGCAGTGACGTCATCGAAGAGGGTGGTGACGTCATCAGAACGGGCGGTGACGTCACCAGACTCAAAAGTGATTTTGGGGACCCAAAAATGACCTTGGGGACAATTTTGGGATCTTGGGGACACCAAAATGACCTTGAAGACCCCAAAAATGACCCTGGGGACACCAAAAATGATTTGGGGGACACCAAAAATGACCCTGGGGCCAATTTTGGGGACACCCGAGAGGATTTGGGGACCCCAAAAAGGACCCTGGGGACACCAAAAAAGACCTCGGGGACAATTTTTGGGATCTTGGAGACACCAAAAAAGACCTTGGGGACAATTTTGGGGACCCCAAAAGGAGCTTGGGGACAATTCTGGGACCTTGGGGTCACCAAAAATGATTTTGGGGACCCAAAAAAGAACCTTGAAGACCCCAAAAAAGACCCTGGGGACACAAAAAATGATTTTGGGGACAATTTTTGTGACCTTTGGGACGCCAAAAAGAACCCTGGGGACAATTTTGGGGACCCAAAAAGGACCTTGGGGACAATTTTGGGACCTTGGGGACACCTGGAGCAATTTGGGGACCCCAAAAGGACCTTGAAGACCCCAAAAAAAACCCCTGAGGACAATTTTGGGATTTTGAGGTCACCAAAAATGATTTTGGGGACCCAAAAAAGGACCTTGAAGACCCCAAAAAAGATTTTTGGGAACCCAAACGTGACCTGGAGGACCCCAAAAATGATTTTGGGGACAATTTTGGGACCTTGGGGACACCCCAGGTGACAATGACGTCATGGGGGATGCCCCCCCAGATTTGGGGACCTCGCTGGAATTTTCGGGACCTTCTGGAATTTTCTGGGACCTTCTGGAATTTTGGGGCGATTTCGGGCGGTTTTGGAGCGAATAAAGAAGTGGTGAAAGCGCCGGGTGTGGTTGAGATCCCAAAAATCCCCCCCAAAAAAATCCCAAATTCCCAAAAAATCCCAAAGCCCAACCCCAAAATTCCTGGAAAAAAAAAAAACAAAAAACCCCAACAAATCCTGACCTCAAATTCCCAAAAAAACCCCAAATTCCCCCAAAAAACTCCTCAAATCCCGAGCCTAAAATTACCCCAAATCCACCCAAAATTCCCCCTAAAAATCTCCCAAAATTTACCCCAAAATTCCCAAAATCCCCACAAAATTTCCCCAGATTTCCCTCTGAAAATTCCCGATTTTCTCTCCGGAATTCCTCTCAAAATTCCCCAAATTCTCCCCCAAAATCCCCCCCAAAAAATTCTCCAAACTCCCCCTGAAAATCCCCCAAAATCCCTCAAATTCCCATCAAAAAATTCCCAAATCCCTCCAAAATTCCCCAAATTCTCCCAAAATTCCCACTTAAAACTCCCTGAATTCCCCTCAAAAATCCCTCCCCAAATTCCCATCAAACATCCCCAAAAATTCTCCAAATTCTCCCCAAAATTCCCGCTAAAAAGCCCCAAATTCTCCCAAAATGTTATGTAAAAATCCCAAATCCCCCCCAAAAATTAATCCAAAAATCCCCAAATTCCCCTTAAAAATCCCCCAAAATTCTCCCAAAAATTCCTCAAATTCCCATCAAAAAAATTCCCAAATCCCTCCAAAATCCCCCTTAATAATTCCCCAAATTCTCCCAAAATTTCCTGTTAAAATCCCCCGAAATTCCCATAAAAACTCCTCAAACTCTCCTCCAAAAATTCCCAAATTCCCGCCCAAAAATTCCCAAATTTTGAGGCGGGGCAGTGACGTCACTGAGGCGCTTCCTCCCCCCCCCAGACCCCACCGCCGCCATCTTGCTTCCCCTCCCCGTGTTCCCGCCTTTTCCTCCTCCCCTCCCAACCAATCACATCCCGACTCTCCCCTCATCGCCCCGCCCTCTTCCTATCTTCACCAATCCCGCTCTTCCTTCCTTCCCGCCCTCTTTACCCCTCCCAACCAATCCCTTTACGCCTTTTTTCCCGCCCTTTCCGCTGATTGGCTGGTTCATCCCGCCCAACTCCTGGCACGCCCGGACTTTCCTCGCCTTCACTGACGTCACCGCGCATGCGCCGCCGCTTCCCGCCCCTCCCGCCGGCGCCATCTTGCCCGGGGCGCTGAGGCGGCACCGGGGGGTTCCCCCCCCCCGCCTCATTCCCCGCCGCTTTTTTGAGGTGAAATTCGGCGATTTTGGGACTTCTGAGGCACCCCCACCTCCGGGAGGCGTCGGGGGAAGAGCGGAGCCCCCCCCCGGAGCTGCAGCGGCCGGGGGGGGGCGGCCCGGGGCTCCCTCAGCGCCCGCCGGAGCCGCCGGTGAGGGGGGGGCGGCCTGAGGGGGATTTGGGGATTTGGGGATTTGGGGATTTGGGGTCCTCAGGGAATTTTGGGGCGTTTTGGGCTCCCTCGTGCGCTTTGGGGTCGCTTGGATGACTTTGCGGGTCGCTAATGAGAATTTGCGTGGAAATCCTGAGGGAGCGGTGATGGTTTGGGGGGTAGGGGTGGGTGTGGGGGTGAATTTAGGGGTTAAAAATGGGATTTAAGGTGGATTTTGGTGCTTTTTCCCCTCAGTTTCACCCTTGCCATGCCGGCTCCTCGTCCCCCAAGCCGACCTGGGAACCTCCGGGACCCCGAAATTGCGGAATTATTCCTCAAAGATGACCCCGAGAAGGTTTTTGGGGAGCTGCGGGAGATCGGGCACGGAAGTTTCGGGGCTGTTTTCAGTGTGAGTGAAGGAAAAAATCCAAAATTCCGCCTGAAATTGGTGCTAAAACAGCCCCAAAATCCAATAAAACGCCTCAGGGTTCACCCGGAAGAGCCCAACCCCTGTAAAATCCGTTTAAAATGTGGTGAAAATTGAATTTAAATGCTCTGAAATGCCGCAAATTGATCCTGAATGCGCCAAAATTGGTCCAGAATGGTGTAAAGTGCTTCAAAATCCACCCAAAAGGCCATAAATGCCAAAATATATCCCAAAATCCTCTGAAATCCCCCAAAATCTTACAAATCCACCCCAAAATCCACCAAATCCACCTCAAATCCCCCAAAAGCCACCCCAAAACCCCCAAAATCCACCATGAAATCCCCCGAAAATTCCCAAAACTCCCCTCAAATCTTCCAAAATCCACCAAATCCACCCAAAAATCCCCCAAATCCTCCAAAATCCTCCACATCCACCCAAAAATCCCCTCAAATCCTCCAAATCCACCCAGAAACCCCCCAAAATCCCCTCAAATCCCCCAAAAGCTACCCAAAATCACCTGAATCCACCATGACATCGCCCAAAAATTCCCAAAACTCCCCTCAAATCCCCCCAAAATTACCTGAAATCTCCAAAATCCACCCCAAAATCCCCCAAATCCTCCCAAAAATCTCCTCAAGTACCCCAAAAGTCCCCTTAAATCCCCTAAAATCCATCCAGGAATTCCCTCGGATCTCTCAAAAATAACCTCAAATCCCCAAAATCCACGCAAAAATCCTCAAATCCCCCCAAATAATCCAAAGTCCCCTAAAAATCTCCCAAAATCCCTTCAAATCCCCCCAAAAATCTTCAAAATCCCCCCCAAATCCCTTTAAATCCACCCCAAAATCCCCTCAAATCCCCAAAACTTGCCCAAATCCCCCCAAATTCCCCCTCAAATCCCCCAAACTTCCCTTCAAATCCCCCCGAAACCCCAAATTCCCCCAAAATCCCTCCAAATCTCCCCAAAATCCCC